TTTGGGAAGACAGACCCCAAGAGACCCAAGTGCCTCACTTCAGATTCTGGGTGTGAATAATTTAGCGATTAGCCGTGTACACAATGTAGCTGTTTAATATCTCCATTAATAATCACACCCTTTGCCTATAAAATCAATGCGTTAGAGGAAAAAATAAAGAACAGAAATACATTTCCAGAAGTGCCTGGTCCCACTAGAATGCAGACAACTTAGCTATGTGGATATGCTACTGTTGGTCAACAATTTAGTGTATGTCGGCTAATCCACAGCACTGTCACAGGCTGATGCTGACTCTAAGAGAAAATACCTTTACCTGCAACATAAAGGGCTAAACTAACTGGAATTGCCTCACACTTGCCCATAGCTGTGAAAGAAAGTCAACCTGTGCCTTGTGTCTTGTCCCTGCCACACAGCTGTGTTGCACAGGCAGGTAACACCTACCCACAGCCCGCTGGTAATGTAATGAGAAGCCAATGATCTGCTCGCTGTTGTACTCTGGCCGCTCCCAGGACACAAGGACTGTGGTGCTGGAGAGGGACACGGCTGACACCTTCTTGGGAGCGCTGGGCAAACCCTCTCGCACAATCACCGAGAGCTTGGCAGTGGCACAAGCCATGCCCAAGCTGTTCTCGGCCACGCACTGATAGTAGCCAGCATCCTCCAACCCGATCTGATTAATCACAAGGCTCCCGCTGCTCTGCACCTTCACCCGCCCGTTGGAGAGGATGGCCTCGCCGTTCTTCAGCCAGTGAATGGTTGGGGCTGGCTCGCCCTCTGCCTTGCAGACAAACCGTGCCGTGCTGGCTCGGGTGCGTGAGATGGTTTCAGGAGCCTGGGAGATGCTGGGTGTAGCTGCAAGGAGAGAGGACAAATTAATGCAGGAAGGAGGAGGAAAAGATAGCAAAGCAAATCCCTTCTCCTCCCCACTCGGCGCTATGTTTTATTCAGTAGCAGCTTTGCTTACAAGATAGGATTTGCCAGGCAGACTCTAGAGGCTTAATTTAGACTCTGTCCAAAAGGAAAAATAAATTCTGTATCAATCATGTGCTGCATTCCCTGATCCTAGGCTGTTCTCCCTGCTGGCTTCCACGATACTGAAAGTTAATTGCTGATACAGATTTCCATGAGGGAACCCTGGAGAACAAGAATAAGGCATAAAACGGTTCAGTAAACACAAGGAACTAAACCCCAAATTAAAGAGGTGACACTCCCACTGAGAGCTACCCCAACCCAGGGCCTCCTGGCTCTAACCTGGCTCCCATCTTACCCAGCATGGGCCACAAATGCAACTTCTTGGGGAGCTCTGGATGTTGGTCCAGGTAATCTACAGCTACCTGGCACGTTTATCCTGCTCTCTACTCACCAAGGACCCGGAGCTCAGCTGCAGCTGTAACGAACTGCCTGGTCTGGGGTTTGTTAGCACGGCAGACGTACACCCCTGAGTGATGGGGCTGGCTGGAAGGAATGAGGAGATTTGTCCGGCCCAGCACAATCACATCTGTGGAAACAGGCTTTCCATCTGCAGGAAGAAACATGCACAAACTTGGGAGGGAGCCCCAAGCTGCCCTTTAGGAGGGCTTGTAAACAATGCGTCTACTAGAGCCAGGATCTCAGCTGGGGAGCAGAGAAATTCCCAAATCCCAAACCCGAGCCCAGAGGAGGATTACTGCTGGGACACTCCTCAGTGCTTGACCGAGCATCAGCCAGCCCAAGCCAACATTGGCCCAAGGTTTAGTTTAGCTTGTAATAACTGAAAAAGTTCTGGTTTGGATCAAAATAGTCTCTGATGCCTAGGGTGTGCCTGCAGTGAGACCCCCTAGGAATAGCATATTCAGCGAAAGCTATGCTAATGCACATTTTGGAAAAGCTGCTGGATCTGCCTCCTGACCCCCATGCACGAACACACACGCCTCCTCCCCTTGCTCGTTAATGCAAATGTCAGCAAGAGCACTGAATCACTAACAACTCAAGGGTTTTTCCCTCCCCTGGGTCTTGGACATGAACCTAAATTTACTGAGCTTCCTGAATTCATTCTTTGCCAGCTCCTGACCCATAAGGTATCAGGAAGACACCAGGTTCTCCCTGGGGCTCTGGTGCTTGGGTCAGAGACACGGGCCATGAGCTGCCCTCTCCCCATTCTCCTGGCCAGGTGCTCAGCAGTGCTAAGAAGAGAAAAAGGAAAGGGGGCTCCGGCCTCCCTGGCCAGAAGCTGAGCTGTCCTTCTACAACTTCAGATAGTCCTAGGCTCCTCAGAACATCTTGGACAAGGCAGTGCTGGGCACTGCTTATTCTCAGCACTGCTCTGATGGGAGAAACATGGGGACCACAGTGTTGGTACCTCTTAATGAGTGGGGGGGAGCAAAGCCAAGAGCTGGGGACGGAGTACGGGCAAGCACAGTCTGGCTGAGGAAAGGCTTGGATGGGAGGTCAGAAACCCATGGCCAGCTCTTGGCATGAGTTAGTGGGTTGGGAGAGACAGCTGGCTTGTGCAGTACCTGTGGCAACACCAGACCTTGTCCCTCTCCACCGGCAAGAACATGGATGTCCCTCAGACAGCAAAAACTCAGCGCCTGCCTGCCTTTGCCTCTCACAGATTCAGCTCAGCCTGTATCTTGAGACAGAAGCAAGCTCGCCACCTCCACTGTGAGCAGCTGCATCTACTTAGCACCATCAGCAGGGAACGCAGCTGAGATCAGATCCTCTGCCATCCATTTTGGGGGTCTTCAGACAGCCACACAGTTCAGTGGCTGCACACTCAGAGGAGGAGAAAATCTGTGCACCCCATTTGCACTGGAGCAGTTTGAAAATCTGACTCCAGATGGTAGCAATTAGCTGACACCACTGAGGCTGGCAAGAGCCAAACTGGCAACCTGGAGGTACAACCCTCGGTGTTACCTGCATGACTAATGGTCCAGTAACTCAGCCTGCTCCTTAACAAAGTCTTGGAAAGAGACATGCTTGTATAACACAGAACTGCTAGCACAGTTAATCCATCTTTTCTAATTTGAAGAGTCCACAGCAGGAAGCAGAGGGGGACCAAGTAAACACTTTAAAATAAAGCATGCGAGGAACTGCTTCACCAACCTTTCCTCCTTCTCCCTCCTCTTCCCCTCATCCAAAAAACTTACATGGTGATAATTAATAATATCTACTCTACTATGGGCATCAGTAGCTCTCAGTAAAGCTGAGTATTTGTAATTGTGAAGTGCATAGGATAAACCAGAATAATTTCTGCCAGAACATTTAATCCTTGCCGATTTGATATTTAGAGTTGTGTCCTCTGAGATTTTCTTTTTTCCTCCTTTTTTGTGGGGAAGAGGAGATGCTTGTATACACTAAAATCACTGTCTGTGGACAAGTATGGGCTGAAGACCAACCACAATAAATGGTTACAGGGGAGAGGAGTCTTAAATCATGACCTGGATTTATGAAAATGACTAAGAGCCTTTTCTGGGGGAGATTTGACTGCAAGAATGTCTTCAGTCAGAGCCTCTGAAAGACATCCGATGGATATGACACTTGGTGATGTGACACTAGCATCCTACTCCTGACTTCGGCTATCAGCCCTGGGTAACGTATGCCAGTCTGGTTCATTTGTACACCTCTGATGAGACCTACGCATCTTCTCGATCTTTCCATTACCAATTTGAGCACAGCATGATTTCTGAATAAAAGCCTCCCAGCAACACTCTCAGCCACTCCAATGATTAACAGATCTTATCATGTTTTATAATCCTGCAAGATAACACAAGTTTATTTCTCCAGTGCAGTGGCAGATTCCACAGAATCCCCACTAACCTCTGAGTCCCTGGAGGAGTGCCACAGACCTGACCCCATCTCATGACCTTCTCTGCTCAAGCTCATACAATGAGGATGACTAATTTAGTTCAAAAGGCATCCAGGCACTAGAACTCCATATATTTCACAGGTCAAACAACCATAAAGTGAACTGTGTGCTTTATAACCTTCTAAATTTAATTAGCAATTCCAGTTGAGCAAGGACACCCTACACTGCCAACACCACCTGCGTCATTAGGTACCAATGTAACAACCACCCTTCCTGTCCCAGATTTTTCCACCTTTTAATAGATTTTTAAAATAAAGTGTCCACAGGTTCCTCTTGACAACAGAAGCTTAATTCTGTCCCTCACGCTCACCCTGTCGTATCCAGGAGACGAAGGGGGTGGGATCAGCAGCTGCCATGCACTCCATCACCACGCTCTCCCCAGCCACCACCGTGGTGTTCTCCGGAGCAGCGATGATGGTGACATCTCCTCCTGCTGGCTGGGAACCTAATGTCAAAAATAAAAGGAAAAGTCTGTCCTTCCAAAACACAAAGTCTCCAGAAAAGCACAGGATGCAGAGCCCAGACACCCTGGCTGTGCTCCCCTAGGTATTCTCATATGTGGTAACAGCTCATTCATAGTTGGAGGAGAAAAGTGTATCTTGTTTTTACATGACTACAACATTTTTGCTAGAGAAATCAACAAAGGGGTGCCCTGCAGATTTACTCTAATCATGCTGACTCTAGTAAGAATTAATATCAGGATTTTCATGCAGAAAATAAATAGAGTCTCAACCCAGCACCTTCATCGACTGTTACTAAATGGATGTTTGTCAATTAGATGAAAGAAGACACTGATATCCTCAAACAGAGCAACATCAACACACCCTTTGCCAAGGCATTGTAACAGCTCAGAAAGAAACTACTAACTTGCTTAAAGAAATTCTAACATTCAGATGCTGTACTGTAAATGGCGACAAAGAGAGGACAAGCCTCTGTGTCCAGGCCTTTACCTGACAGCACGAAGACTAAATCAGCCATTGCGCATCTGGAGGAGAACATGCTGTTTAGCTTATATGTGCAGAGGTGAACAGTCAACGTGTAAATCAAGCAACGTTTACAGGAAGATGTAAAGGCTGCATTGCACAATGTCTTGAGAACAGGATGGGGCTTTTTTTGCTTTAAATGAACCTTCTGCCTGTGTCTGCCCACTGCTGAGCAGAGGTTGAGGGAAGGTTAAGGAAACGCCTTTGCAGTGGCCAAACTTCTGTTGTCAGATGAAAACAACCGGAGCACTCTTGAGCAGACCAGACTGTTCATGACCCTCAACAGTAGCAACCTGGTTCTTCCAGCTCTCCCAAATATGTCTAACCCTGAGGGACACTTCTGTTGTTGTCCTCATGAAGGGAGAAATAACTGCAAAGGAGTCACTTAGTATGGGTAATTCTTAGGCCTGCTCCAGGTGCTCCCATGATCTAGCAGAGAAAGTTGTTGGCAGCAGGTCTCAAAACAAATAAAAGCAGGACCTTTTTGCACAGCACAAACTCACTGTCTCAAGATGCTGCAGAGTTCAAAACCCAAGAGGTTCAGACAAGCTCATGAAGGACACTTACTGGAACTGTTAAATACTTTTTGCACAGCACAAACTCACTGTCTCAAGATGTTGCAGAGTTCAAAACCCAAGAAGTTCAGACAAGCTCATGAAGGACACTTACTGAAATTGTTAAATATGAAGGTCTCACTGCAAGTCCCCAGCCCAAGATGTTCCCACATCCCTGACTCTCAAATGCTGAGGGAGATGTCCAAGGAAAGCACCTCCCTGCCCAGTTTTGTTTTTTTTTAACGTGCTTTCCTCTAGCATCTGCTGTGGTCACTTCTGGAGATGGCACTGCAATAGCTGCACCTCTGGCCTGACTCACACTGGCCATTCATGTGGCATCCAAGCAACACTCATCCATACTTGGCTTTCTTGTGAATAAAAACCAGAGAAGCTTTGGCCTCAGCACGCCAGCCTGCCTGCATGGCAGGAGGCTACATATCGCTGCACCTCAGCCCACCTCCAGGCTCGTTGTCATTACCTCTCGCACAGAAGTCTTGCCAAAGAGAGTTAGTTCAACACTGAAAATTTTCTTGCAGTCCATACACGCGTGAAAGGGATTTCCATCTGTAGCACTACGTGAGCACAGTTGAAGAGGAGCTAGGCACTGAAGGAAAACAGGAGAGAGCAGAAGCCAGTGCTTGTCCAGCAGATGGAAGCAGAGACCGAGGAGCGCCCATGGTCCCCTACCTGGGGCAATGGCTGGACCCCACTAAACTGCAACCCCAGACCTGGGCAAACACCAGCAGTAAGAGCTGCCATGGGGCACGAAGGAAAAGCCAGGCCAGCTATCCTCCTTCCAGTGGCACAAGTACACTACACAGAGGGCCTGGTGTGTACAGGCACATACAATCTCCTTTTGCGCTTACAGCATGGTGTGGGCTGGCCAGGGCTTTGCTACGGTCACATCGTTCGTACCTACAAGATGCTTTCAGCCTCACGGCCATCACATCCAGCCACAGCAGGACAACTTGGGGGACAGAACAGGGACAAGAAGAAACCACATCAAACTACAGATTCAGAGGCCTCAGTCACAAACAGACCGAAGTCCTGGCCGCTCTTAGCTGCGGCGCCAAGGATGGGCTTGAGAACTACCAGGACAGAAAATGAGCTTAATGCAAAAACAGGCACAAGAGCTTCCACAATAGGAACGAAAGCTGAAGGATCGGAGAAACGCAAGGCGCTCTGGAACAGCAGCTTTCTTTTAATTCCAGCTCCAGTTCAACAAAGCACTAAAATCCACGAGTAATCATTAGCCCTGCAGAACAACTGAGTGCAGGGACTCCAGCAAGACCTGGTTGGATGGGTGAGGCTGCTCAGCACGTTGCTAATGCCAGGCCTCTACCCTTTCTCTACCCCATATGGCAGAAAGGGATGAGGCAACATTGGAGAAAGAACAAGAAGGAGCTTTCCAGCCAGGATTTGGAAGGAAACACATGAGAAAGCACCAGAAGCAAAGGAAAAGGCTTTTATAGCAGCCATTACAGGGAAGGCCACAGTGCTGAGAAGACACTGGAGAACCCAACAAGTTGTGATGAGGTTGGTTTTAAGAGTGAGCTGGGGAAAGAGGTGCAGAGGAGCCAGGTGAGGAGTTGCTCCCTGCTGAGGGGCTGGCAGCATGGCTGGACGTGGTTGCACACCTTCACAGACCACAGGCTCAGGCCCAACTCACCCTGTGCAGGACTCAGCAAGCCTCATCTGCCCACCCTGAAGACCCATTACCCACTGTGGGGCCATGGCAGCTTTTGATGAAAATGAACAGGGCAGCAGCCTACACCCCAGGTCCTGGGAGCAGAAGCACACAGGGACAGAATTCCAGCCTACCACAGGAGTGAGCTTCTTTACCCAACACCACCGGCTGCCGGCATCCCTGCGGGGCAAGACATGGCTGAAACGCGTCTGTGTGCATAAAGCTGTCCTTTTCTGCAGTGCTGGGGGAAAAAAATAAATCTAGAGTAAAAAAACCACCACCAGCCAGATGGCAATATATTCCCTGCCAGATTTCCAAGCAGCTTTCTCTACCAAGCTTAGGGCAGAGGAAGAGAGAAAGCTCCTCAAACGTGACTTAAACACTCATCTGTTGCATTCAGGTGCATGGCCCCAGGTGCTGGCTGGCAAAGGCACCTTACAGCTTACAGAAACTTCATGGGAAGGCACTTGTCCCATATCACTCGGTCCCTCGACAGCTGGTTTGTAGTGCTGTCAGCCACTAGGAAAGGGATTTTACAAGCTGCACAAAACCTCCCTCTGAAATAGCCCCAGGAGCCATCAGCTCTGCAATCTCCTGGTTTAGCAGAGGCACCGTGAAGCGCTGCTGTAAAGGCACAGCCTATAGCTTCACCTTTCTTGGGGGCCCTGCATTTCTCCTGGCTGGGGAGGGACCAACAAAACCCTTCACCACCCTCACCCTGAACGGTCCCGCAGTAGCACCGTGTGCCGCCCTGTCCTCTGGTGCTGCCCTGGGTACTCAGGAAGGGGAAGAGCAAGGAGCTCGCTGGTGGGCAGGTAAACCAGCCAGGAGAAACCAGGCCTGGTGACCCAAAAGGGCTGACGACCAGCTGCTTATTAGCTCCATACTTACTCTGCAGAAGGTACAAAGAGAGCTGATATTGGGGCTTCGTGACAGTCAAATCCAAGGGCATAACTCAAAGTCTCTCTGACAACCAAGAGCAGCAACGGCCACAGGGATCTGTAGCTCAAACATCCATTTCTGCTTCCTTCTCTCTTGGCCAAAACCCTGGTTTCAGCCTTGAAAAACTATTGGGAAAACCTATCAGCCCTGACCCCATGTCTGTCTTATATGACAAAACCAAACAGTTCTGCTTGCTTTCCCAGTACATTCCTGGGTGTGCACATGGATGAATGCCCCATACACCTCTTGCACACACAAACGCATTTCTCTCCAGCTTTGTATTTTCACCACGGGTCTGTCACAGCAAGTCTACAAGTCAAGCTCCTCTTTTAAACTCCCTTTAGAGTACATTTTTCACCTGCTGTCTCAATAGGCTGGTTGGATAGGATGGATCGCAGCTTAACCACTACAAAACTGCTAAGGTTTCCTTTGGTTTGAAGAGTTCCCAAGAACAGTACTAAGCTTACCAGAAAAACCTCCACACACAGGGGATTCCAACAAACATCAAAGAGGAAAACCAGCGTGAGTTTTTTGTCTCCGCTGCCATTAAGATAATTTCAGGTCAAGAGGGAATATTGTTAGAACCAAAGGAAAAAAAGAGCTGCAGTTTCCAAGACATCTGTCACTGCCTGAACAAAACAGGTCACTGAATGCACCTGCGCCATGCTGGCCGTTCCGTGGCACTAAAAGCTTTCACAGTGCTGCTATTTAAAACTTCATCTTTGAGATTTCTTCCCTCCCCGCCC